ATTTCCCGCGGACCTTCAAAAAACTTCTGCGGACCCGGGCCGGTCCATGGGCCACAAGTTAGGGAACACTGGGTTACCTTATTATGTACATCGTTTTTCCTTTGGTTATTTCATCTTGTTCGCAATGCATATTTTCTGCAAACATGTTGCTGTTCCAGTTGTTTTCAATACAAAGCGAATGTCAGCAATAAAGCATAAGTCACAATTCGCACTCACAAAACAATTGAACTTATTCTGCTTTAGTTCATTTGGAATCCCTTTATACAACACAATGATTTGAAAATTAGTTGCCATCAACTCTTATACTGCAGACCTTTGGATCACAAAGTTCCACGAGGAAAGTATCTTTCATTCAAAATCAAAATCGCTCGAGGTAAAGTATTTTAAAGGAATGATGCTCTGAATAATACCTGGGCGAATGCCGGTAGTCTTCGGCAAAATTTTATTAGCAAGAAAATTTTATGCAGAAATGTATTTCGGCGGGAATTGTGCTACACTGCTGGCTACTTTGAAAGAATTTAATTTGTTGTCTCGTTATTATTTTTTAAATAGAACATGACTTCTACACGTACCAAGTAATCTTTCATTCTCCGGATTGAATAGAAAGTTCAAACTTTCCGCAATATTTGAGAGCTGAAGAATTTTTTTCTGATAATGAAAAATTCATTCATGTCAAATATGCCCAAAAGTAGTCATCTTTCAAAAGCAGTTTGTAGAGTATTCGACTCTCTCTGACTAATGATTCTTCCATGCTTCTATAAAACTCTTATATAATTCACGTAAGTCAGTTGATGAGCTCTAAGAAGACAAAATTACAATCTTATATGCCTTGCATTTCAATGCTTTTGAGACTGTATTTTTTCAGAGATACCCGAAATAAAGTGAGTGATCATGTCGGGGAGTTACTTGGCAGCCGCCGCGGCGATGTTCGACGCCACTGTAATTTTTCCCTGGATGATCAAGCTATTTATGATCACGGCGTTCGTGAACGTGATAAGCTCAATGTACCAGTCTCTGGTAACAGAGGGCATCAAAGCAGTGGCTCGTAGCGCCATGCGTACCATCGGAGTGTCCACTGAGAAGAACGTGAAGCTGAACCACGACACCGCCGTGTTCACCGAGGTCGCCAAGTCCGGCATCGTCGGGCTCGGCGAAACCTATGCTGCGGGTTACTGGGAACCCGTGGCCCGACTCGACGACTTCCTGTTCAACATCATCGTCAAGTCCGATGCCCTGGGCTCCTTTTTCGGCAACTATTGTGTCCGGTGAGTGAGAAAAATAACGAGACGGAGAGACAGCATGCGTATTTGATTGGGTCGTGATGGTGCGTCAAGTCGGACTCAAAATTTGAACTTCTTAAAAATACCTATTATTCATCTTCTTTTGATGGTAGTGCTGTATCAGTGGGTCCCTGCATAAGAAAACTTATCTATTCCAGGATGAATTTTCTTTCGATCCGCGAAACTTTCTTCATGCAAAACTCGATGTACCTTAAAGTATTATGATAAATAGCGTTGAATTCCATGGATGTCCGGATAAATCCATCGAAAAAAGTGTACGCTTCAAATATTGTGAATGTGTTCAACTCTTATCTTTCATGATGACATTTTCTTCCATGGCACCAATGGTTGCAGTACAGTATTGTATAAGAAAATATCAAGCCATATACAGTACTGTAAATTGCGTCTCTTTGGACCCCTAGAAAAGATAATTTTGACTTATTTAAAACATGTTCAGCACATTGTCAAGGTTCTGATATAACAT